GGCACGGACGCAATGAAGCGCAGTTCAGATGTTATGGGAAGAATGAGGGGGGAATCGGTGAACATTCAACAATTTAAATAATAAATAAACAACTACAAAAACGAAAGTAAAGCAACAGATCATAAAACAACACAACATAAAATCAGTTCCTCTCTCGATCTCCTCTGTCGTCGCTCCTCCTTTTATGCTTCCGCTCCTCCGTAAGAGATACGAGACCGGTGCGTGGTGCAGGTACCGCTCATTAGTAATTACACCACAGGCCTCGCGCCGTCCTCCCACGGCCCTCGACCTCGTCCTGCTCGCCACACCACTATCGCCGCACATCACGACACAGTCGAAGGTAAGTCCCTAGGAAAGCACGACCTGATCATCAGGTTCCTGAGAGGAGCGAGGAGATTGAATCCTCCTCGACCTTCTCTCGTTCCTCAGTGGTTTTAAATGCCCTGCAGAGTGCTCCCTTTGAGCCTCTGCAATCAGTGGAGCTTAAGTTCTTGTTTCAGGACCTCAGACCAGCTCTTTGTCTGTTATGGTGGAAAGCTGAAGGGAAAGGCTCTCTCCAAGCAAAGGTTGTCTCACTGGATTGTGGACACCATTGCTTTGGCATACCAGCAGCAAGGTCGGCCGTGCCCCCTTGGTGTGAAAGCTTCCTCTTGGACTCTAGCGTATTGGGCCTCGCTAACAGACATCTGCAGAGCTGCAGGCTGAACGACACCCAACACATTCGTGAGATTCTACAATCTCCGAGTGGAGCCAGTATCCTCTCGTGTACTCGCTTCGACTAGCCGGTAACTGGATCTGCTCAGGTGTCTTTGCTTGCTCGCCATTCCACTCCTCTTCCACTCCTCGGAATGGATGCGTGCGATATTTCCTCAATTGAGTTTCCCCGAGAAGTCCTGAGTTCCTCCAGCACTGTTGACGTCAACGCCAGAGTCTATGCCTGCGGCAACTTTCGCGTTGGCCAGGTGCCTCCATGTGCTTGGTTCCCCACTGGTGACCCCCACATGTGTATTTCCACTGTAAGCCTCTCTGAGCATGTGTCTTTCCCTTGGCAAGCCACCTTGCCACCCCTGGGGTTGAAACTTTCCACCCTGCGGGCTGGACACCCCAGTGTTTTTCCATAAGCAGCCCCCTCTGGGTCATATGTGTATTCTGTAAGTCCTTCCTTTTATAGCCACGAGGTGGGGCGGAGTTACGCTATGCAAATTCCGCAGACCCATGGCAATTTCTTGCCATTGGCTCGTTTTATATTTCTCGAAGTTGATAGGCTTTCTAAGCAAAACCCCATTCGTTGTCATGACGTAACGTGGAACGAGGGTTACATCCGTAACCGAGATGTTTTCAAACATTGATAATTAATAATAAATGTTTCTTGAGCACTGAATCAGCATTTTCGAAAGATTTCTAAAGGATCATGTGGCTGCTGAAAATTCAGCTTTGCCATCACAGGAATAAAATACATTTTAAAATATATTAAAATAAACAAATTATTTTAGTTATTTTAAATTGTAATAATATTTCACAATATTACTGTTTTTATTGTATTTTTGATCAAATAATGCAAGCTTGGTGAGCATAATTTCATAACTTTTGTAAATTAAATTGTACAAAATAATAAATAATTTCCAACAATTTATTAGCTCAAACAGTTAAGTATGACGCTAACAATGCCAAGACCCTGGATTTGATTTCCACATAATGCATAAATTAATGAATGCCTTGAACATCATGCGATGCATCTGAAATTATGAAACTTCATGACAGCCACATTGTGGGTTTATGCACAAGTTGATGGGAAATTATGGCATATTTTTTTATATTTCCAACACTATTAGAAATCATTCACACAATTCATCAAAACCTCATGCTAGCCACCTTGAAAACATTACCTTGAGGATATATTTAAATCACCAAGCAACAATGATCACGATATTGTTACGTCTGTACATGAAATTCAAAAATTAAAATGCTTATATATATATATATATATATATATATATATATATATATATATATATATATATGATTATTATCAATGAACAGTAATCTCTCTCACACTAGGGGAAAACAAAACAGAGCTTGTTATTATGACTAACTGCTTATGACACTATCATTATCCTTCTTCTCTGCTCTAGCTTTTTTTTCTTTGTATGGTTGACATTATGGCTGAGAAACCGGGGTGGTAAATTGATTATAGAGCCCATTGACGTTCATATTATGGTAGCCCCTAATAGCATATTTGTTCCACTAATTAATTTTGAAATATTACTTATCCTGATCCCTGAAATAAGATAAATTATGGAAAATATGGGAGAAATTACACTTCTGTGGTTGTCCAATCTGTTTTTACCCTAATCCATTGTAATCTCTCTGGATGGTTTATTCTGTTGAGTTGTTTCCTGAGCCTGCAGCACATCCCACCGTCATGGGAACGTTAAGGGCTGTCAGGCTCCTTAACACAGACTGTATCCTGGATTTTGTTCTTTTCCCTTCCCTCTTCCTCCTGTTGTTGTTTTTCTCACCTCTCTCCCTTAGTCTCGCAGGGGCTTTATTCTCAGTTCACCTCAACTACATTGTTGACAGCTCCAACCACCCAAACTGCAGAGGAGACTAGAAGTGTGTGTTTGTGTGAGAGTGAGCTGGTTAAACATTCCAGAGGGAGCATTTCTGTGTCAAATATACTCTTTAGAAGCAATTACTTGTTTAGGCACATTTTAAATTAATATACTACATGTATAGGCCAATGTATAGTTTTAAGCAAGCATTCATTATGTGATTATTTACAATTACATTTAGGTTTACAGATTTTTCATTCATGTATTGACTTTTTAAAGTGTATTTTTACACCCCAAGTGCACTCTGGTTTGGAGAGTAGGACAGTATTACCAAGCAAAAATCCCTGCGGGAGTTTGGAACAAAAGAGACAGAAAAAGTGAAAGCCGTCTCCCTGCTTTTCAGGAAAGACAAGCCTTGCAGACATTTGTTTTGAGAGAGGAAAAGGCTCAGTTGCAGAGAACAAAAAAAAAAAAAAAAAAAACAGACTGCAGCTGAAAGCTCTCAGGCGTTTTAAGTAGGTGCTCTCTACCTTTCATGCGGATTATGTGCATAAATATAACTGTCTGTAGTGGCTGTCTACAATTGTTCCACAACCACATATGAAACAAATATCTGCTTTTAAATGTAAATAAATAGTGCACTTTCAGTTTATGGCATAATGGTTTTGCAATATGTCGGACAACTTACATTTACACTTTTTTTTCAGACTAAATATGTAAGACCCAAATATAGATTTATTTATTTTTTAAATCCACCTTTTAAATGTTGTTGTGGTAGGCCTCAAATGCAGAAATACATGGATTTTCTATTTTTTTACATTTTAGTAAGTTTTTAGGAACATTTTGCAATATTGCAACGTTGTGCCGGTTGGGTATCAGAATTTCAGTGATTTCACTCACTGTCTGAACAAATGTAAAAGAACATCTAAGGGTTAATTTACAGGGTGTACTGCTTACAGTATGTAGCTCCATAACAGTAGCCTATACTCTAATAATCACACAATATTAAAGATTGGACAAGTCATATTTTATGAAAAATAAACCATTTACATTTTTTTTATATAAAAAATATGTTGAGATTGTATTTACAAACACTGAAAACGTTGGCATTTATAATGTGATTTAGCTCTGTTTTTAGCCATATTCAATTATGATAGTCCCAAAGGCGGTTCTTGTCCTCCGAGAAGCAGAGGTGGACATTGCACTTGCTGCAAAGTTTGATGTAGTCTTTACCACAGTGTCTGCAGCGTCCTCTATTTTGTTCATATCTTCTGACTCAAACTTTCGGAAATACTCCAGTAGGGGAAGTACTGAAGGGAGACGGCATCATTAGTGATATCCTGACCTGAAAAAAAATCAATGTTGGGACTGATAAAATCCTTTTTCAGTCAGCGATACCTCTCACGGGGCATGGTCTGTGTTCTTGAATGACTTGATTTTGTTGGCATGATATCCGCTTAATCATCAGATGGGTCGTCATTGGGTTGTTTATTTTCCTTTTCCAGTTCTCAGGAATCTCCACATTCCTCCTCATCATTTGTATCAGAATCCATTTAAAATCACTGTTCCCAGTTTGGACGGTATCAATGACATCATGCACTTTGTAGATAATGTCTTTTCTGGCTGGTGGTTCTAAAATGAAATGAAAAAAAAAATACTGGTTATTTTCCATATCCCAATCATAATTACACATTGAAAGAATTCACACAATACCGCCTGGCTAGCTTATTGTGCCCTCTACTTATCATGCTAATAGCATTTATAGCTCCCATGTTCCAGAACATTTTCACCTGTCCCTCATGCAGCAAGCAGATATTTGGTCAAACAAGCAAAGCCCTGAAAAGAACCACCAGTTAAGGTATATGTTATAAATGATAAGATACAGATATTTTTTTAAATATTGCTACACAAATACTTTCAAATTCTAAAATAAAATGTATTCCCTAATTCAAATTGAACAAAGAAGACATTTAAAAATGTGTGAATGATCAAACACATTGTGTATCTATTAGTATTTATTTCACATGGAGCAGGCGAGAAGTAAAATCCATGTAATCTGAAAGGTGCACAGGTAAATTTTGTTACCCCTTTCACCCAGTGTTGTAAAATTACAACATTGACATTACAAGCTCAAAATCATTCAAACATTCAAGAGTACCTAAATATATGCATAATCTATACATGTTACTAAACACATAAAACACATCAAAATACTGGATTTATTCAGTCCAGTAAAACAAGATTATGCTTCAAGGCAAAGTGCGCAGGTTGTGTGAGTTCATGGCCAGGTGAACAGGCCTATTCACAAAATATTCCATCCAATAGCATTCCAAGGCAATAGGACCTATTAGTTGTGTAAATGTGGTCTAAGAGAGAAAGTAGCTCAGTAGCAAAAACCCTTATTTATATTTTTTTCATATGCCCTCTGTCAACTTTTTTTCCTGCTAGGCAAGTTCACGTGCATCGAGGTACGTTTTCACCTGGAAAGACAGATGGGCTACTACCTGATCCAGATGTATATTCCCAGCCTGCTCATCGTCATCCTCTCTTGGGTCTCCTTCTGGATCAACATGGATGCCGCTCCTGCCCGTGTCGCCCTGGGAATCACTACAGTGCTCACGATGACAACTCAGAGCTCTGGATCCAGGACGTCCTTACCTAAGGTCAGAGTGTATAATGCATCAAAGTAAGAGCCTTGCAGCATCTTTGTTAAAAATCTGAACATCACTGATCAGCATTAGGCTATACGTTTTTTCAGCACTTCAAAGCATCTCTTTTCTTGCCATTCATTCTCAGTTATCATTTATTAATGCAGTCCACAGTAGAATGTGTAAATGCGTCCATGTGTGAAAGCAGGCGTGCAGTGTGTATTGCATATTAAAAATTCATAAATGCTACATTGAGTTATGTAACACAATTAAACATTCCAGTAAAAAGGCTTTTTCACCCGGCAGAGAGAAAATGATCTCTGTTTCATAGCGGTGATGAGGACAACAGTCAAATGGGCCCCTGTTTTGTTCAATAATAAAATGACTTGGCTGTAATGCAGGCTGTAATGAAAAAGCCAAAGGCTAATTAAGGTCTCTGAGAACAACTGTTTTTGTGTGTTTCTGCCATGCAGGTGTCCTATGTGAAAGCTATTGACATCTGGATGGCTGTGTGCTTGCTATTTGTCTTTTCTGCCCTGTTGGAGTATGCTGCAGTCAACTTTGTTTCACGGCAACACAAGGAACTCTTACGATTCCGACGGAGAAGGAAGAAGTCTGGAAAGGTATGGACTGAGCTGAACTGTAACAGGCAATCTATCGCAAAATTAAGCAAAACACATCTGATTAATGTGAACCCACATTGATGATAAGATGGAAATTGCTTTCCTGTGTTTTGAAGGTATGTGACAATACAGAGTTCACACCTTTCATGTTGATGTGGACACATACAAGTCAAAACTCAAATGTAAATTATTTTGATTTATTATCAATAAAAACCATGAGAAATTTTGAAGCAAGTAGTTATGCTGATGATGGCACACTGAGTCTGTTTGTGAAAAACAGCACGACTGCGAGTCTGATATTGCTTGTATAAAAGAAGGAAGTTAATATTGAGCAACTGAAAATAGTTCCAGTCAAATCCACAGTAGAATCGTTGCAACACTGGTGCTGTCGTTGTCGTTTTGTTCTTAAATGATTCTGTGTTTTAGAACAAATCGATTGGATGAATGATTTAATGACTCACTCATATAGACAGTCACTTGTGAGTTGTTTTGAATGAGTCGGTTGAATGTATGATTAAATAGCTCAATCATTGAATGAAATTTTCTGGATTAATTTATTAAGACAGACACTTGTCGCCACCTACTGGCGTAACAATTTAACCTGTAGAAAGAGTCACTGACAAATACCCACCAATACACATACTGACATACTGTCTGAAATACCCCAACAAATATAAAATTATACAAACAGTAAAAAGTTCCCGTTATGTTGAACAGTTATTTCGGCACTCTAGTCACAGCTCAGCCAATCAGATTTATGGACCAAAACGGATTGCTTTAGAAATAAATAAATTAAAATATAACTGATATTACAGAAACAGCTTTTATATTTATTTTTGCTCTGCCAAAGAAAAATATTTCCACAAGAAGCAGCACTCTTGGACTGCTAGTTCAATCAAATTAATGGACCTTGTATATGCTCTTGTATAACCCTCTTAAACTTGGGGTTTAAAGATTTAAAAAAAAAAACGATTCTCGGAAATATCAGTGCAAACACATTGTCACGTTAGATTAAAGGTCATTTATGACAATTCACCTTATTAGAAGATTATCTGTAGCATATTATACGTCTAAAAACAGAATCCAATAGAGTACCATTCAAAGCACTGAAGTGAATTTGAAAATCCTATGGGAAGGATTTTGCCCTGTATGAGGAGAAACTGTTACTGCAATTGAATTTGACAGTAACGGAAGCAGATGATTGGGAGACAGACAGAATGTCTGTGCCTTTTAGACTCTGCTCAGATAAATACTAAATACACAGCCAAACACAGTTTAACTGACTGAATGTATGTGTTCTGGAAGGCATGTTGAGTTGATCTGATGCTACACTGGGAACTATGATGTTAAGTTTGAGCAACATGTAATGTTACATTAACATAATCATTGATGATGTTATTTATTGTATAGCATATAGTAAAAAAAAAAGAAAAGAGGTAGTTATTTGCATCTCTTAGTTAAAATAAACATCTGGAATCACATTTGTTTACACTGGTATCACAGAAACACCCACATTGTTAATCCTACACATATACAACACTGCCCCCTATAGGACAGAAGTATTCAGTGCATTTTTATGGCATACATAGCAACTTTATAACCAAACATATTTCAAACAAAGGCTAAATCCTGCTGAAAAGTACAAAGGTCACTTTGCCATTTTTTGTCTATTTATATGTTATTCTTATTGGAGTGTATTCAAATTGCATGTGGGCATGGGGTGTTATTTCCCCTGGCACTATGGAGCTGGAAGATTATTGTCTCATGATATGAAGCTTAGCCAGTGGAATATTCTGGCAATTTTCATAAAAAATAAATAAAAAAAAGAGGTAAAAACCAGACAAACCAGTACAGTTTAAATGACAACATAAAATGCATGTGCAAGCAGTCCAGGCACAGCCACAATATTGGATGCTGCAATTTACAGATGAAACCACTTGATTTTAAAAAAAGAATACCCATATTTCATTATTTTACTGTACATGCCTGAAATAGTTATTTTTGAATGCCACTTACTGATTAATATTTTTATTTATTTGTCAATTATGGACCTCGCATGATATCCTGCATGTGGTGAGCCATTATATTTTATTAGTTTGCATGCTTTGTGTTTCTTTCTCTCTTTCAATCCCCCTGCTGTGCTGAAAGACTTTCGATCAAACATTTGATGAGGAGCTTACCGAGTCATTGCATCGTATCAATGGCCTATGCAGTGCCGAGCCTGTTTACGGATCAATGGGCCAACTCGACGAATCCAATGACTGGGTAAAGAGAGAGCGTACAGCACTTCATCTCTGTCCCTTCGGTTGACTGATGAGATCATGATACAGTCACTCCTCTCCATCCCCTTCTTCCTCATGTTCATTCAGTGTCCAGCCCTCATGAAACAGCATGTCACATCATTTTATCATTTAGTACAAGTGATCATAATGTTAACTAAATAGCCACTTGAGTCTTTTATAATGATAATGGATTCATTTATTTGCATCTTTTTTCCATTTTTGGAACCTTCCTTGAGGTTAAATTTGTTAAATTGGATAATACATTTGGTATCATGAACTAACTTTGAATATGATTTTTAGAGCATTTATGTAAGTTAATGTTAATTTCTACATACAGTATATACATTTTGTCGTATAATTTTAACATAGACTAAATCTATTTTGAACGAACATTAATTAACTGTATACAATGGTATATTTACAAATTAACAATTGTTACACTGTTTTTAAATAAAACATTCTATTTAGAGCATGGCATAATAAATTATATTCTTAAGAAATAAAAAAAATACATCTGTAGATTCCCCCAATGTGTTTATTTTAAGATAATATACAGAACCATTCAAAAGTTCAGGGTCAATAAGATTTTTATTTAGCAAGGACGCATTAAACTGACTAAAAGTGGCAGTAAAGACATTTATAATGATTTCTATTTCAAATGAATGCTGTTCTTTTGAACTTTATATTCATCAAACAATCCTGAAAAAAAAAAAAATAATCAGCCCAACAAATGCTGAGCACCAAATCAGCGTACTGTATTAGAATTATGTCTGATCATGCGACACTGAAGACTGGAAATTTAGCTTTGCCATCACATTTGAATTTTAACAATATTTTAAATATATTAAATTAATGCAGTTGTGGTGAGCACAAGAGACTTATATATATATATATATATATATATATATATATATATATGTGTAACAATAGTATACTTTATTAAACCATTAGGGCAGAACACCAATGAATGCAAGTAGCATCAAATAAACTGACAAATTAAGATATGTCCAGTATCACTGAAATAATTACTTTGAAATAATACAATTATATTTTCACCTGATGTCACACTCAAGATGCATCATATGTCTAGTTGCCCAAAATTCTCTTGCACTCAATTATTCTCAGTTGCATGCTTACTGAATTGGTATCTTCCAGTAAATGCAACATACCCATCTTTCCTTATGTTTTATTAGTGGGGAAAAATAAGTACAAAATTAAAGCTGCAAGCAGCATTTAGCGGTGTTCAAGCAGTTAAGGCCTTTAAGGCCGTTAAGCACTTAAAGCATCAAAAGACATTAAGTTTTATTTAGCATACATTTAACCACTGACATAATAGATGGAAAAGACCATTTACAGCCAAAACAGGCAATTTACCATAGGACTTATATGTTTTTAAAGCTTTTTAACAGTTATAGCGCCACCTATGGTCCGATCTCCATGAAACTCTGCATGCTTCTTCACCATGTTATGACACATGTGCTCATCAATTTTTGTGAAGTTCTGAGTTTTTATTTATGATTTATAGGCTTTTGAGTGTATTTTGACACGCCCCCTTTTCTAAATGACCCTGTTACAGTGAACCAAAGGGCAAAGTTCAACTTTTTTTTGATAATTATTGATCTAGAGAGTCCATAGAATTGTCCTAGACTGGTCTGGTTCCGATCAGGGAAAAAACCAGGGACTAGTTCGCAAAAGTAGGTTTTGGACAAAATTGGCTTTTTTTGCTCAAATCGGGAATCCGAGATATACATCTTGTCCGTCTTGAGCCAAGGAACACAGTGGTGCAAAAAGCTTGATTCCAAGTCAAACGGTCGAGGAGTTATGAGCAATTTAGTACTTTTGGTTGCTGTAGCGCCACCTATGGGCCAATCGGGGTCATACTCTGATAGGTTCTCCCCAAACTGAGGCCCTAGCACCTGGCCAGGTTTCAAGTCTCTAGGCCTTACGGTTTGGGCTGCACGATGCGTTTTAGTTTTTTTTTTTTTTTTAAATAGCAATTACAATAGGTTTTCAGCACTTCGTGCTTGAACACCTAATAATATTTGTGTTTCGTGGGTTAGAATTTTCCTCTTTCTACCAAGTCTTCTTTATTTGTCTGAAAATCATTGTTGACAGCAGAACAGAAAGCTACTAAAAAAGAACTAAAATGTGCATGCTAGCAGGGCATTATTTTGGCAGAAACTTCCCATAAGTAATTTAAAGTGTTACGGACATCTCTTAAACCAAACAGAGTGCCAACACTCATTTACTGTTCACATTATTATCAAAATCCCCTATGAGGGAACCAACAGGTTTTGTGGATGACTACCAGAGTATTGATTGCTTCTCTCTTTGTATCCTTTCCTATTGCTAAGGAGGAGGATGTACGGGAGAGCAGGTTGAGCTTTCCCAACGCAGGGAAAGACGGGGCTGTGCCCAAAGCCGCTAACAATGCGGCCCCAACACCCTCTGACCCAGCCCTTGCTGCCAGCAAGAGTCATGAGGAGATGAGAAAACTCTTCATCGACCGAGCCAAGAAGATCGACACTGTGTCCCGTGCCGGATTCCCACTGGCTTTCTTGTTTTTCAATATTTTCTATTGGGTTCTGTACAAAATCCTACGCCATGAGGATGTGCACAAGCAATAGATGGAACATGGCGTGATGCAGCTTGGGAAGTACTGTAAGTAACACAGTAAAGCTGCATCAATGAACTCTGATGCTATTACTGCTGTTCCTGCCATCATCTATGCTGAATTCTGAAAATGACTATGAAAAACTGTGATGTCAAGGACCAGTGGTTACTTTCAATAGTTTGTTTGTGTTGTGCACCCATTCAAGGACACTGCGCTCGCTCACTATGCAATGGATAGGCATCTGTAAGGCCTCTGACCCACCTGTCCTTTAACAAACTACAATAAAAGTGGACAGAACTTCCTCACACCTGTTTAACACAGGAGCACAGTCCGACACCGATTACTGCCCCTTTAGAGACAGATGTGTGTGTCTTGCACTGGTTTTGTCAACTCTGTTGTCTTACAGCTTTACTGCCAATGTTCTATGTTGTATTTTTGATACACAGCTATTGAAAAATGGCAAGTATATATAAGAGTGCAAGAGCAGAACTGTATATTATACAAATTTCCAAACACAATATATAATCTTGATGATTTTATAAGGAAGTGTTGAATTGCTTTTATTAGCATTTGGTCAGCGTATTGTACCCTTGGTCATTTTGTCCTGACCTGATTGTTGACCAGCTCTAGAAACCAGCATCCAGGCCAAAAACATTCTGAGATAAATCTCAAGAATGACCCTGAACCAGCAGAGAAGACTATTCTGTTTACAGCTATGAACACCTTAACATTAACTGCTTCAAGAAAACACATTTCCAAAACTTTAATGGGTAGTGTACTGTCAGTAACCATAGACTAATTGAAACCATTCTACAAGTCCAACTGAATTTTTTTCTCAAACAAAAGCATTGTTGTTCGAAAACCATTGCAAATCACTTCAAGCTAATGATGCCACTGCAAAATAATGCGGCTGGGAGTGAATTCTGTCAGACATGTGTTGCAAATTCGTGAATGGAGAAAAGAGGTGGACGAGTCTCAGCCAATGTGTTTTCTGAGAATACTCAAAAATAAGTGTGAAAAAATTGTCTCGTAATAAAATATTTAAAAAAAAAAATGGAGTGGTTTTAAACTAATCTAACTGCATGAATGGTGATTATATGGCAATTGACTTTGAATAGGAGCTATTCAATTCTACTAAAAGAGAGATCCATATTCAGTTCTGCTTCTAAGGATATTTTAATTATCCATAGGGTTACTGAAAATGTAACCCTTTGAATAAAATAAGTGCAAAAAAATTGTCTCGTAATTAATAAAAAAAAATGTTTTAAATGGAGTGGTTTTAAACTAATCTAACTGCATGAATGGTGATTATATGGCAATTGACTTTGAATAGGAGCTATTCAATTCTACTAAAAGAGAGATCCATATTCAGTTCTGCTTCTAAGGACATTTTAATTATCCATAGGGTTACTGAAAATGTATTTGAAACAATGTTTAACATCAATATTTATTTTTTAACACTGAAATTTTGAATTATCAGTTCACGTATGTTCTTTAAATGCTGTTCAAAACAGCGAAATTACTGGGACCAGACTTTATTCAATCTTTTTTGTTTGTTTGTTTTGTTTTGTCATGATGATGATGATGATGATGCTGATAATAATAAGTATGGAAACCTTGTCTGGGAGAAATGTATTTCCTGTTCTTTGAAAATAAAAGTAATCTGCTGGAAAACTGTGCCATACAAATGATCAAAGCATATCTAGTCTCACACATTCCTAAGATAAAATAGAGCTGTGAAAATAGGAAGTTCATAGACCTTTACAGTATAATGCAAGAGCAGTTGTAATTTATTTTGTACATATTAATATATTAAATGTTATGCATGAACTCAAGTCTGTTGTACTGCATTTTTTAAATGTGAATCTGACCTGTCAGTCTAAATGTTCTCGCTGCAATCAAAAGAGAGTTGGTTTAGGTGAGACGCATTTTTCGTTTTTCCGTGTAGGCTACATCTGCAAATAGGCTTCTGGTCACGCTCTACTTTACAGTGTCCACATATAGCCTAGCTAAGTTAACACTAACAGTTATAACAAAACATAAAAATGCCACACAAAACAGTTTGTCAGTATTTAAACTTTCAACATGAACACTGTAATGTAAAGTGTAAAGTTCCTTTTAGGTTTACTGAGGCGCCCTCTGAGAAAGACTGAAAAATAAAGATGTTTACAAAAGCATCATTGGTCTCTCGTTCATTTAGGTGCGTTCATTTTCTCACTTTACGTGTGTGTACTTGTAGCTACTGTATTCGACTGCTGCCGAGGGCATTAAAGAGCTCACAAAAATGTTTGTAGGCTAATCATCTTTTGGGGGTAAATGATAGTTTGTAAAACGACACCTGGCCGTCTATGTTTACTGTAGTAGTACTGCATCTACACGCCCCCATCTGACTGTTCGCCTACATAAAGCAGTGCGCGGTGCGTCCGGCGGTGAGCAGCATGATTCTCCACGGGAAAGTGGCTCTGGTCACCGGCGGCGCGCAAGGCATCGGAAGAGCCGTGGTGGAAGATCTCCTGGGGAATGGGGCGAAGGTTTCGCTTTCTCCGATTTCTATTTTTTTTTTTCAAATGGACATTTTAATGCGGATTTATCCAATTAGCTATTGTGAAAACTTGTACAAATCTAAACTATTTTAGTTGCCTGTTTTGCGAATTTCCCCCATTTGATCATCCATCATTTGATGGCTTTAGTTAGTTTACTTGTTTTAGCGTTATGTTATTAATTTATTTACTTTTTGACAATTCAGGTTGCATTGGTAGACCTGAACCAGTCTGTGGGAGAGGAATGTAAAAGTGATCTAGATGGCCAGTTTGGAGAGGATAACTGTATTTTTATCCAGTGTGACGTGACGGACTCGGGGAAATTTAAAGGTAAAATCATAGGCTACTTTTTACTTAGGCTTTTACTTATAGGGCATTTATCATCTTCTCTGAGGTTGGAATCGTTTTCTTAAACGAAACAATGATCCACTTCTCATTGAGCACCTGTATGTGAAGCGCATCTTATTCCTGAACAGAGTCTCATTGTTTGGGAAGTTAATTAGGTCATAGTAGACCTTCATAGGGCCCCAGGTCAACATTGAAGAATGTTATAGGTTTTTTGAAGTTTTAACACAATCAAATGTTTTGCCTTTTGTTCATATTTTTTTCCAAGACAAGGGTTTATGGGTCGGTGGTGAGAAGATTGTTCATTCCTGTTAGACTTGTTTCTAACGACACACTTACTATAGAGTTTAATTAAATGTTTCTTTGTGGAATGCTGCAGCTGCAAGTCAGGTGAGGGCACATGCAGGCTGACACTGGCTGTATTTCAAAACCTAGTGAGCTGCCTACCTGGATTGCTCACTTGGTTTTGATACAGCCACGTTGTACTGCTGTCAAAAGTGGAACTATTGTTATTGATAATTATCAAAACATGAAAACTGTTTTTCTTGCTTTAGATGCCTTTCAAAACACAGTAGATAGGTTTGGTCGATTGGATATTGTCATCAATAATGCTGGAATCAACAACGAGAAGAACTGGGAAAAGACCATTGAAGTAAATTTGGTGAGTTAACCCTTAAATGCATAATGTTTCGCCAATCATTATTACATATTCGGGTCTTTAGAGACCCGGATCTATATCTAACACGGATGGATAATACATACCTGTCGCGATAAGATAAAACTCTCCTGATATAACAATTACAGAAGAATTAAATAGAGCATATTTTGTTACCTTTTGGAGCTTGGAAGGGTTCAGTTTGAGCAGATGTTTTATATCATCATCATTTAATACATTTTAATGAATTATTCTATTTTCTGTGCAAAAAAATATAATACACTGTTACACACCTCGGGTTGTTAGCGACCCTATACAATTTTTACAAAAAAGTTAATGGGAAAACAGGCATTCTTTTATAATTGTATTATTTTTTATTGTTATATTGTTTATAATGAATTGATTGAGGAATACTAAAAAGATTGATGTCTAACTTAAAAAAAAATTAATGAGGAGGAGGGTAGGGAATGACGTCCCGGGTCACTAAAGACCCGAGATATACATTTAAGGGTTAAAAATCACTAAAAAAAAACCTAAAAAAAACACTTGGATAGATCATGCCAAACTGTTGCATTTTCCACTCAACCTCATTTCCTTGAACACATGATTTACACAGATAGTTTGTATAACGTTTTGTGCCTTAGGGCACAACATTCAACCACACTTCAGGAAAGGAGTTACAAATTCACAAAACAATACTACACCCCCTGCTTCTAGTCCAAAAGATTTCACAATAGTACATGAAATGAAATAATCTACAGATCTTTAAAATTATTCCTGCCCTGCAGAGTGATTTCATAATGGACATGATGCAGTAAAATAATGTGTATTTATGTTAGTTCATAATAGCAGGCCAATGTCAACATAATCTCACTCTCCTAAGAAAACATCTGTTCACTATGTGCTAGTAGATTTATACAACTGTTTTCTTCCTCAGACATCCGTCATAAAGGGGACATATTTAGCACTAGAACACATGAGTAAAGAGTATGGAAAGGAAGGAGGGGTTATCATCAACGTCTCATCTATGGCAGGTAAGCTACTGTTTACCATGGCTGTTTTGAAGAAGTTAGCCTTAAAGTAAAAAGTAAAAAAAACTAAAAGAAAATAGGCTGTACAGAGTATTGTGCTCAAGAAGGTTACATAACAGTATTTTGAAAAATTACACAAGCACAATTACACCTAAATAATAAATTACATAATAGATGCTGTGCATTTACTGAAGATTACACAGATAAATGACTTGTTTTATGATTAAGATGTAAAAGAGTCTAAACCTTTAGCATAACAGGTCATTTGGGCACACCTTTTTTTCCCCCAGGAATGTAGTTTTAAATGAACGCAGGTAATATGAACAAAACGACATAAAAGCATGAAGCAAAAAATAATAGCAGTATGCCACAATGAGACACTTTACCTACAAAAAGTATCTGCTTTAAAATGCACTCACTCAAAAATTGATATCGCTTCTGAGAAATATAATTGGAATTATATAAACTCACATGAAATGAAAAAGCTGACTACACATATGAAATGCAGCTAGCCACGTACAGCACAAACCATTAACAATGCATGCAAGTTAGTTGAGATTGAATCCAAGAATCATCTTAATCATTGTTAATATACATTTTTAAAATAAAATAAACACAATGTTTTTGTATGATGCAGCAGAATTTGATAAACAAACTTAATACATCCACCGCAGTAGGTGGCAGCATTAAAGTTCCACTATGCTTTTTTGGATATTACCTTTCATGTAGTGTGTAATATAGCTGTTTGTGAATGTAAAAGGTCTACAAAGTTTCAAAGATCATGAATGATGATTCAAAGAGAGAATTGATTCTGAACTGCCTGAAACGAGTCGCCAGCAAGTCCTGTCGTTGATAGGGTAAAACCGACACCATCATTATTGTGTGTATCATTGCGTATAAAAGTGCTGAAGAAGCTTAGCCCCCGGAGCTGAAATTCAGATATAGTCATGGCCATTTCGTTTTCGACACACGTTGTAAGAGGTAGACCTTTCACAACAGAGTGCCAACTGACCAATCAGAGCAGAGTAAGCTCTTGGAAAGGAGGGGTTTAGAGAGACTGAATCCTTCATTGAACCATTCAAAGAGGTGATGCAGCAATGTATATTATGAGAAAATTCAAGTGTTTTTTGACCTTGGATGCATGTTAACCTATTGTAGGAGACCATGATAGGGGTATTTTAAGTCCAAGACTGCATCAAAGAAGAGCCAGCATAAAGTAAACAAAAAAATTTGGGAACAGCCATTTCAATAGTCTCTGGGATATTGCAAAGTGTGAGACATTTCAAGATCTGTCTCACACTAATTATTTACAGTACATTACTGGGACACTCCTTGCTTTGAAGTTGTATAACCCATGTGCTCTATCTCTGGCTTTGTGCCTATTCACACAAGCTAATCCAAGTTCACACTAAAAACATATCACCAGAATTTTATTTAAGCACCCCAGAAGATGGAAGAAACTGCAATCGTTAATCAACAGCATAACTATTATGACAACAAAGGGAAGGCTATCCATCTGCCATCAGATACCTGTGTTGTGGTGCCATTGAGTTGTTTGGACAGACAAACTGATTCTGGGCACTGTTTTGAAGATATGAATATTATTTTGTAAATATACGTGTGTGTACATGGTGGATGATGAATGGTGCATGGCTGACAGTGAACTTGTTATAACCCCCAACATGCTCCAAGTTTTTAGACTTTGGATTTGAAACAGCCTTCATTTCCCTGAGAGATGGGATAAAGGATGGTTTATTTCCCTCACTGCATCTCAAGTTTATAACTAATGTAACACAGGTGATTATCCTTTTTTTTGTGAGTGGAACAACTCTCACTTTGAGACTATGTTAATAGAATTTATTTTCTTGTAACTGGAGATTTATACTCTTTTGAATTGTGTTGAGGCAACTCACTTTCTCTCATTGCCCTTACTTCCAAAGCTGGAAGCTTGATATTGTTGCTGTTTAACCACACATTAAATTGCATAACTTTTTATCAGAAAGTAACGTTAAGACTAAGTTAAAATATAGGCCTGCTTCACCCTCCTTAAACACCAATGAATCAGTATTAATGTTGACAGTAAACTGTGAGGAAAAACTAGGTTGCCCTGAGTTGTATCAGATCCAGTTTCACATCCAGCAAATGCAATAAAATTAAACAGACCTGATAAGGCTATAAATAGAACATTATAAATATAATATGAATTATATGATTATGATTTGTCCTCAAACAATCCCACAGAACTGCATGGAGCCACAGTTATTTTAGTATTTAATATGGTCTTTATAATTCAAACTACATTACTCTTTTGGGAAATAGATAATAATCATATATAGCATATACACATCTGGTTTTAGAGCATATAGGGCGAGTGCTGAAATAAGTAACTTAACCATGCTGAATGGAAACATGTCTTTGTAGGATGACTTTATTGTTTGATTTACTTTTTTGTAGGATCTTACCCCTTAATTAACATTTACCGACAAGAAATCTTGATGACTGTCTCTGAGATGTTAATACAGAATGGGAAACAGAGCCTTATTTTGTGCAAAAGTAGGTTATTCTCTGGATGTGCATTACTGTTGTGTTTAGATTTGTACATCCAGAACACACAAGAATTGTTTAATTGTAAATACTGTCTCAGCTATTTGCCCCTGGAGTCCTTGGCTTGTAAATGTTGTTTATTATAACAAAGCCTCAAACGCTCTAAGGAAACATTGTTCTATTTGACTTCTCCAATACCTTTCCACATAAAATAAAGTGTATGTTTATTTCAATATATCGTTATTAATATTAATATATTCATATTCATTGTATTGGGAAAAATGCAGGTGACTTTTCCACAGAAATTTGTATTTTCATAAAGGTCAATAAACAACCAAACATGCTCTTATGTCGTTTTCCAAAGAGTCACTTTAGTTTAAACAGACTCAACAGCCATTAGGATTTTCATACTTGAATTAAAGGAGAAATCTTCAGCCTTGGAAGATCCAGACATTTTCCATGACGAAGAAATTGGAAGTCATTCACAGGCTTCATTTTAGTACAACCTCAATACGATGAAAACATTCAAATAACAGACTGTGGTATAGTTACAAAAGCTTTCAATTAGTCACCTGGAATGATAATGTTGTCATGAACGTTAAAGAAATATAAATAATGCTAATTTTAGCCATGTACTCACCTTCATGTTTCAGACCCTGTCTGTGGGGGGGGAAAAGAAGATATTCTGAAGAATTTTCACACAACTCTATTAGGCCTACATACATCGATAGTTTATGTGATCTGTCCCAAAAAAAACTTGAAAATAAAAAATACAGCCAAAAAAGCACCATGAAAACAGTCCATATGACTCATGTGCTATATTCCACATCTCCTCAAATGTATGGGGAATATATAAACATTTTATTCCCTAACAATCTTCACCTCCAGTGTGTTGTAACTTGGGAACTGTTGAGTCAACAAGTTGAACTCAGATTTGTGGACCGGAAAGAACAAATCCGATGATCTGGTTCTCGAGTTAAATTCACTGACATAATGATTCAATCGCAGTTAACATCTCACTCATCTCATTTCTTCTGAGGTGACTTAAATGTTGGCCTGTTGCTCACACAAATACCATATGGTTTCAGAATACTTGGAGTATAATGCTCAAGTCACATACTTGTATGGTGCATTTCTGGAGCTTAAAAGACATGGTCATATGGAGAACCTTAAAAAAAAAAACATTTTTTGGGGGGGGGAATTAATGTTTGTTTTGTTTCTTCCCAGCATTTCTCCATTCTCCTCACCAGCCAGTGTACACAGCAACAAAGCATGGGGTGATTGGATTTTCACGAGCCATAGCAGTGAGTACATCAATCCGGTCTCATCAGTTTACCCTAAGTAAAGTTTACCGTAACCATATGTAAATCCTTTCCCTAAAATATGGTACATTCCAGCTGACTACCAAACCGGCTGTCCCAGTGCGGTTTAAACAGCCCAGCTTTTCCCCTAAGAGAGAGTAGTTGTGTTTGCTCACAGATAGGATCTCTTACTTGTGTGTGTTGACACATTCTTTGCGCTGTGTGTGTAATTTAGGCTGACCGTGTTTGGACACGTTTTGTTGTCGGCAGGACGCATCTGAACAGGGCAATTATGGAGTGAGGATCAACACACTGTGCCCAGCCTTTGTGGACACCCAACTACTTCACACCGTGGAGCATGAGGAAACAATGGGCAAGTTTGTCAAGTACAAAGATGAATTCAAACAAAGGATCGACAAGTATGGCGTTCTTAAGTAAGCTAAGCTCAGTTGAACTACCTGTTTCTTCTGTATGGGATTGTCTTAGTAGTTTTGCTTTGTTTGTTGTATTCAGTTCCTTAAATAAATAGTTGTTTGGGCAGACAGCAACAGTGTTCTCTCGAAAATAGCACAAATATGTTTCTAGTCCAGACCTTTACAGTTCCAATATAAATAGTGGATTGAATGCTTTAAATCTTTAACCCTGCCTCTACTGGGAAATGTAGACATTCCATTTTGCACCACCCACTGATTAAATGTGGATTAGACCGCATGTTTTGCTTGCACTATTTTTGACATGTGCTTAAATTTGAACCAAATCAAACACCTCCACCCAAACTAATCATCTACAGTATTACATAGATTATACTTTTTTCATGCCTCTACATTTTGCCTCACTTGCACTATTCTTCTGGTGCTGGTGGTGTATCAGAGGATGTTTTATTATTTTTCCCTCTGAAATGTCTGTTATGTCTTCCTCAAACTCTCTGTAGACAGACATGAAGGATGTGTTATTTGAAGTTACAGTATGTTGACAAGAACATAGAAAAAAGTTTGAGGCCAATTATAGACTGATTTTACAACACAATAAAATGAATTGCCATGTTATATCAGAGTGTTTGCATTATAAAATTCCACTTTTTTTGCTGAAATGTGTTCATTTCACTTAATGCTACAGGACAAAATAGTAAAACGATGTTGTGTCTGTGTGTATATCTACAGACCATCTCTTATTGCTGAAGGAATGCTGCGAATCATAACAGACGAAAGCCTAAATGGAGCCGTGATGAAAATAACCTGTTCTAAAGGCATTCACTTCCACACCTATGAGCCTCTTTCAGCTTGAGAGTGATGAACAATCAAGCCAGTCCTGTTTATTCCTCACCAAAAATGTATTTTATTGAAGTTCAGGGCAAACACCTGGAAATAAAAAGGGAGGGTATAGATTTTGTTTGAGGAGAGTTTCCTGTTTAGCATTTATCAGTTTTGAAAATCAAAAAGGATTTCATACTGGTGTGCAGGCCTCTTTCTAAACATGTTTGTTTTTTGTAATGCCCTTGAACATTATTTTGTACATAACTGCTTTAACTGTGAGTAATTGCTTTTGAGAGAAAAAAAGTAATATTTATTATTAATTCATTACTGTTTTGTGGCTATCATACCTCAAAGTGCTCAACCAACCTTTTTGGTTTTGTTTGTTTTACATATAGATATTTGTGAGAGAATATCCAAGGTTTTTCATGTATAAATCAAACAATAAACTTCTGAAATCATAAAGCAAATAATTTCTTTATACTTTTGTTTTATTTTATTTTTTTCTTGCAACTAAATTGAATAGTCTCTGTTTTACCAAAACCTAAAATCTACTTGTCATCTTGTAGACTGTTCTGGAATGGAAATCCAGAAACAAGTGTCACCTGGCAGCTGTGTTTACATCCATGAAGTCCTTATGTCCAAGAATCTGCACATTTGCCTCCGCTTACCGCATTACCAGAAATAGATGAACCCTGCAATTTTAAATTTGGTAACACTTTATTATGTTTTATTAACAAAGTTTGGGAGGAGCACGTTCAGTTAATTAACACGAGTGGAGTGCACTCAGCAATCAATGATAAGAGGTGTATATATAGATTCAGCAATATCACCTCACTCCATTGATAGTTTAGCAGCATCCCTCCACCGCCCCTTTTCCACACTTCCAGTCCTAAACACTTGAGGGGGGAGTACTCTGGGTTCGGGCCAAACTCCGAGCTCGGAGCCCTCCACCCGGACAGCACGCTAAATACGCATTAAATCTTATCCACTCTAATTATATGTAAGTGTGAACTCGTGAAATTTCGATGGTCCACTTTAGACATTTTACTAAGTACAAGTAACTTTGCAGCTGCATGTCAACTGACTATCATTAGAGTATTAGACTGTCTGCTTAATCCGCCTGTCATGAAATGCGTCCACGCATTGTATTTATCGTGCAATTTATACACAAAAAAAATGAGTTTTTACATGCATATGACTCACAGTTTTTGCGTGCATATAATACGCACTTTATGGCATATAGCCTAATATCCACGTACCCCATACCACTAATCCTACCCAAGAGGTTTACAGTGCGTATCATATGCACGTAAAAACTCATTAAATTACACGATAAACACAATGCGTGCTATAGAGACACATTTCATGAGATTGGATTGGCTTAATATTTGCTAACTCTTTATTTCGATGGTCCATTTTATACAATCTAACTACAAGTAACTGTGCAACTGCATGTCAACTAACTCTCATTAGAGTATCAGTAGGCTGTAATATTTGTTAACTATTTCGATGGACCACTTTATACATTACAAGTAACTTTGCCCCTGCATGTCAACTAACTCTCATTAGAGTATTACTGTGTAATATTTGGTCATTTTATTTCAATGGTCCACTTTATACATTCTAAGTAGCCTACAAGTAACTTTGCAGCTGCATGTCAACTGACTATCAGTAAAGTATTAGTCAGTCTGGTTATACTTTATTTTCGATGGCCCACTTTATAGATTCCACTAACTATAAAAGTAACTTTGCAACTGCATGTCAGCTATCATTAGAGTATTAATAGACTATACTTAATATCTGCTAACACTTTATTTTGAGTCTCCCCCAACCATAACCCTAACCTAACAGCCCACTACAGTCTACTAATACTCTGAGAATTAGTTGGCATTTAGTTGCAAAGTTTATTATAGAATGTCTATAGTGTCCCATTAAAATTTAGTTAACAGGCAAAAGCTTCCTCCTATTTTCAACAATGCCGCTTCATTCCAACAAGCTGTTTGCTGTACACTATAAAAAAATCCACCTGCCTCATTTCAATTTAAATTATATTAAACTTACTTAAAAAATCGAATTGAATTTTGTATAACTTAAAGTAATAGTAAAAACATAATTTTGTCATGATTTATTGATCATACATTTTTATAAAATAAACATTTTCCATGAACTTTCCATAAATGCAGTCAAAACAAAAACATATCAATTGCAAATGGTACAGTAATGGTACATATTGTGACATGGATTGCATCACTTTATCTTGATCAATCAACATGACTTATCTGTTTTAAATACTTTCGGACTTGTGTTTTGTTATATCATGGCATCAGTACAGTCACCAAGTCTACACATTAAAGTAGTTTCATAAATAATATAATGCCCTAGTTGGTTCATAAGGGTTAAATTTGACAAGAACAGTTCTAAGAGTGTCCAACAATTTCGCAAATGAAGGAGAAACTTTTTGCGTATCACTGTAACTTTACAAATTTTGATCAAACATCACAGAGATTACCAAGAATGTGACTCTGCTTTGATATGACAGCAGATAAAGATATGAAAGCAGATAAAGATATGAAAGTCTATAAGGGCTGCACGGGAGGAAGATGTTTAAATGATGACTATTTGATAGTCAGAGCTAGTCAAGTATCTTGAGGAATTCTTGAAGGAAGTGTATGTTTTCTATATTCTACAAACAGTTCCTCATTGAATTCTTGTAGGAACCATAAACACAAACGTGTTTTCATCTTATAATCAGTAAAAAAAAAAAAATATGTATGCAATAGTTTCGGTAACGCAATACACAGACAAACAATACACAACACTTAAAATTAGTATATCTTTACATAGGTCGTTCATGATCACAGTAACTAATGCTAACGTACAGAAACCTTTTGTATAGGGTACTTGTACACATTGGTCGTTGGACTTCTCCATTAGGTCTTACAACAAGGCAAATAACTTTTATCAGTAATTTGAGTGAGAGGAGACCAGATGAACCAGGCAACTGAGATCGCAGTGAAGGCCCTGAGGGGTGGGGTGTGACTACAGGTTAAACAGATGAGAAATCTTAGGTAATCACTAGTAGGCTCTGCTGAAAGATATGCAGTTCGGTTAGCTCATTGTAGGCAGTAAGTTGTGCATGTCATGAGATAAACGGTGTGTTGAATGACTTCCCGTACTGTGTGTCACAAATTCTTTCATGAAGAAGCAATAGGAATATGATCCTATAGGAATTGATTTTCGGAAGCAGATTTTCTATAATGGATTTTTTTGTTTTCTAAACATAAAAACACAATATGCAAACAATAAATGCTCTGATTACAATTGAAAGATGATAATTTGACAATATCAAGCTGTGTAATCAAACACGGTATAATATTAATGTACTTTTTTTTTTTACTATTCCGCATTTTCAGACTTTCTCCCCCATGAAAGACCACTTATATTAGCATGCACACTGAGACAGTGAATACAGATATCTGACAGCTGTAGGTCACAGAGGCAAGTACTGAACTTCCAGTGGCCTTGGTCATTTACTGACCCTGGTGCGTGCAACTCGTGTTCACTTTGACAGTCAATGTGCAAAGGGATTCATTACAAAGCAGCAGAAATGTTCTCCCACTAAAAGTTACGTTGTGTTTTGGAACTCCTCCATGAGTAATAGTTCTGAGAAAGGGAAATGAGGCTGAGTGCTTCCTTGTGTCTTCAAAAGTTTGTGTGATCTCTGCACAGGTTTAGCTTTTGGTCACCCAAGCAAAGCAGGAATTTTAACACATGCATTTAGTGTAATGCATGTGATAATTTCCTTATCACTGTAAAGCCGCTTTGGAACAATCTACATTGTTAAAAGCACTATATAAAGGAAGATGACTTAATCTTATAGGATGGGGTGGGGGGGGGGGGGGGGGGGGGTTGAACATGAAAAGGTGATAATTTGATCTGTCATGCTATCTTCAAAACATCATCTATCATCTAAAAGTTATTAATTTTACACAAATAAAGTCTTAATCTCTGACAGCGTGTTGATAGTTTATCGGCGCCCCCCTCAGGACAAAATCCAAAACAATGCTCATATATATATATATATATATATATATATATATATATATAAACAAACGCACACACACACACACACACACACATGTATGTATATATGAAGAACCATTACATTATTTTCCAAAACATTATTTACAGTTCATGCATGCATTTCTCTATCAAAACAGAAAGAACCACTACTGAGAAACCATGTTAGACAGAAACTGCTGGTCAAGTCCAAAACAAATGTTCTGTGGAGAAATAAAAGAGTTTAAATCAAATCTAGTTAAAACAGTGTCTAATTGAAATACTCTGTGAGGCTACCGTTGTGTCATACTGAGTCCCACATCTGGACAGTATATGCATTCTAACAACATCTGTGAACATTTGTGAGCACTTCACTATTACATATTGTAAAAGTAGCCTATATTGTTGGGTATCAGATCCAACTAAGGATTCAAACTTCAGTGTTTGTATACAATATTGCTAAATTCTGATTTTCAAATAGGCCTTCTGTTTGTGGTATTAAAGGCAAAAAAAGCTAACACTGAAGCAAAAATGTTATTGTGGAAGTTAACGATACAAATTGTACTGTAGATTATCATTTTGTTAGAGATTACTGTATTTCATGCATCTCTTTGGGAGTTTCATATTGTGCAGATGTCAAGACCCACTTCGCTGTGTATTTGCCTATGCTTTGTGTGTAATTCTTCAGCAGTCCTGGAGGGGCTTAAGTGTGCAACTGTCACCCAGGACAAATTACAGAGTGGGCCGAGGGGGCTATAGTACCCCGATGCCTCTGACTATAAGCTAAGGGACCCACGTTGAACTGACAGCAAGAAATAAGCCATTTAAAAAGTTACATAGAAAAAGACCAGTGAACAGCACTTAAATCTGTGCCAGCACTAAAGGTACCTTCTGAATATTTTATTGCAGCAAGCAGTTCTCATTGCTATTTCTCATAAATGCAATGTTATTTTCTGTCATTTAGACCAAATTTTTAAATTGCAGTGACCTCCTCACTACGGTATATATAAACTGCTCATAGAATTTCTTCGACATGACAAGATTAAAATCACTAACGTAATCACTATGAGTCACTATGCTCCACCGTTTTTTTAGTTATTTTTTTTGTAAGAATCGAATTTTTGGGTCACATTGACCTTGGTCTGAGGTAAAACAAAAATAGAATAGAGTATTTGCAACAAAGCAAGCTAAAAGCTGTGATAAGACACTCCCCTTCACCTCAGATTAAATGGCATACAAGACGTCAGGCCGGCCTGCATATTCTCTAGGATGCCTCACTCCCTTGTCACCCGTCAAGCGAATTGAGGTTTCTAGCTTGATTCTCGCTGGGGACAAAGCCTGCATCAGCACAGGACAGGAAAGCATCGAGAAAGGAATAGTGTAAAAACACAGC